TGGAGAGCAAGTTTCAGAGTCTCTTCTGACATCTATTTTGGTCTTTTGTTTTTTTCCTGTCTTTGTAATGATCTTTTGTTTTCTTCCTGTATGATGTTCTTGATACCATCCCACAACTCTTCTGTTCTTTGGTCATTAGTGTCTAATGCATCAAATGTGTTCTTGAGATAATCTTTAAATTCAGGTGGGATATCTTCAAGGTCATATTTTTGCTTTCATGGACTTGTTTTAATTTTCTTCAGCTTCAGCCTGAACTTGCAGATGAGCAATTGATGGTCTGTTCCACAATCTGCCCCTAACCTTGTTTTAGCTGATGACATAGGGATTTTCCACCACCTCTTCCCAAAGATGTAGTCAATTTGATTTCTGTGTATTTCATGTGGTAAGGTCCATGTGTATAATGGCCTTTTATGTTGTTTACAAAAGGTATTTGCAATGAAGAAGTCATTGGTCTTGTAAAATTCTATCATGTGATCTCCAGTCTCATTTCTATCACCAAGGCCATATTTTCCAACCACTGATCCGTCTTCTTTACTTCCAACCTTCACATTCCAATTACCAGTAATTACCAATAAATCTTGATTATATATTTGCACAATTTTGCTCTGAAGAAGTTGGTATAATTCTTCAATTTCATCATCATTGTCATAAATGGTTGGTGTGTAAATTTGAATAATAGCGGTATTAACTGGTATTCCTTGGAGGCATATGATATTATCTTATCACATACAGTATTATATGTTCTTTTTTATGAAGAATGAGATGCCATTCCTCTTCAATTTTCAATTCCCATCATAGAAAATCATATGCTTGTCTGATTCAAAATGGCCAATACCAGTCCATTTCAGCTCACTAATGCCTAGAATATCTATCTTTCTGCATTTCATTTCACTTTTGACAACTTCCAATTTTGCTAGAGTCATACTTCATACATTCCTTGTTCTGATCATTAATGGATGGTTGCAACTGTTTTTCTCATTTTGAGCTGTACTACATCAACAAATGAAGGTCCTGAAAGCTTTATTTCATTTGTGGCATCATGGTCAACTCTACTTTGAGGAGGCAGCTCTTCCCCAATTGTATTTCGAGTGCCTTCCAACCTAAGTTACCTATATCTCTCAGTGTTTCAAAATTCCATATTCTGGTGCTATCTGACAGTGTTCCTTATATTCATATGGTTTTCAGTGGTTACTCATAAGTTGTATACCTCTCCTTCTTCTGAGTCAGTCTTAGTCTGGAAGCTCAGCTGAAACTTGTCCACCACGTGTGACCCTGCTGGTATTTAAAATACTGGTGGCATAGCTTTTGCATCACAGCAACATATAAGCTTCCACAGTACAACAAACTGACAGATGAGTGTTAGCATCATATCAATGTAATTAATTAAAAGTAAAACCATTTAATTACAGGAGTATTGGTAATAAGATCATTTCACAGATTACATAAGTCTTTCTCAGAATTATTTGGAATCAAATCACTTAGCATTATGAGCATGAAAGGGGAAAAAAGTTTCTGGAGGCTCATTTGATATTTCAGCTCTGCCTGTCCTTACATCCCCTGCCAGAAATGTACATTTGAAATGAAAGAGAAGTTTATCAGCTGATTTCATGAGCAATGTGTCTGACTCAAACATCACCCAGAAAGCTAAAAAGGAAGTAGTTTTAAATGCTGGCTGTACACTGAATTACCTAAGGAATTTTGAAAACTGGCTCCAGCAAAGACCAATTTGGTGGAGCTTAGGTAATCAACCTTTTAAAAAGTTCCCTACATGATTCAACTGCACAGTAGGATTAAGAACTGCTGGGCTAGAGCAAACTCAATGGAAATACATAAACATCTAACAATAATATAACTACCTGAGCAGGTGATTCTTCCTCAGGTGCTTCTTGGTTGATGGGCAAGTTACTTTTCTTCACCAAATAGGTTTTATGATCTAATTTTGAGTCCTCCTTTAACAGAAATTATACATAGTCAACAAGAGTAGTCTGAATCACTTCTGAACACTAATTTATTAACTTTGGCAAGGGTTTGGATGGCTTCTAATAGGGAAAGACCTTCCTCCTGTTGGTAGAGAGACAATTACTGGAAGTGGCTAGCTAGAGCTTTGCTTTAAGATCGCTCTTCCCAAAGACTGCCCTTGATATTGCCCAAATACTCTTTTCATTATTGCTCTAGGAATGTCTGTTGCTCATCATTCTTGAGTGTAGTTTCTCTACCACAAAAACCAAAAACAAAGCCAATTGTCATTGAGTAAATTCCACCTCATAGCAAACCCAACTGTTTCAGAGTAGAACTGAACTTCATAGGGTTTTCAGTGGTTGTGATCTTTTGAAAGTAGATTGGCAAGTCTTCTGATGCACATTTTGATTGATTTTAACTTACAAGGGTTTAACTATTTGCACTTCCCAGAGACCTTCCTTAAACACAAGGATGATGATGGACCAAGTTCCCCCATTAACCAAAACTGTGCTCTGGAGAGAACCATCTCCAACCTGTTTCCTATTAGCACATCCAGTCCTCTCTCTGAATCTCTGCGTGGATGCCCTTTTCTCAGAATGTCCTCCTTTTTCTCTCCTTCCCTATGTCTTTAAATTAGATTCTTCTTTTCAGACCTAATTAGGCCCATCTCTTTTCTTCAATAAATTCACTGTTGTTCATTGTTCTCTTTACTTAGTATACATTTTACATAGTATACAGTCTTATTCTATTGTTTCATAAGTGTATGTCTTACCACTCTAATAAATTATGAGTAGAATTGCATTCTGTCAGAAAAATGAGATGTTTTAGAGTCAGACAGAACTGTATTTAAACACTTGATATGCATGTAATATCTAAGTGTTTTCTCTGTTATGAGGACTAAATAAGATAAAGTATGTGAAAGCTCTACTCAGAACCTAGCATGTAAAATTGAATTGCATCATAGGCTAATTTAACTTATATTGTTGTTGTTGTTAAGTGCTGTCAAGTTGGTTCTGACCCATAGTTGACCCTGTATAGGGTTTCCAAGGAGTGGCTGGTGAGCTTGAACCACCAACCTTGTAGTTCAAATGAATTTATTTATATGGGCTTGGTGGGAGCAAAGAGAAGAGAGAAATTTCAATTCCAGCAGTGTGGGTGATTCTGCTCCATAAGTATAGAGCCCAAGTGCATGCGAAATGCCTCCTAGGATGAGCATTCCAAGGATCTAACTGTGTTTCTTTTGTTAAAATATCCATGCATTTTCTTAAAGAATATGGTCCCCAAATGTAGACCAGTTATTTCATCTGGAGATTGACTGGAGAAAAAAAAAAGCACGGCAATTCGCTCCAGCTCTAGAGAATTTCCTTGGAGATGGAAGGAAGAATTTCCAGTGTGGTACCTTCCTACAGGATTTTCAAGAACAATTTCAACTGCACTCAATTTCTGCTTTCTGTACAACTGATTTTATTTGATGCATATCATACAATGTCATTATAACTAGAATTCAATAAACATCTTTTTCTCCTCCTTATAAGTATGGACTTATACTAATTTTGGACATCTTACTTCAAACTCAGCTCTGGGCATAAAGCTCAGTAAATACAAGAGGAATTCAAAAAGTTCATGGAAAAATTCCATTGTCATTTTGAAACTCCTCATATTGAACTAAGATCTCCATTCATTGAGCACTCCATCTATTATGTGCCACTGGTTACATGTTTAGCCATACATAGGCAATGTCTCCCATGTTTTGTTACAGGTAAGTTGAATTTGACTAGGTCAAGAACTTCTTTCTATAGAAAGAAAGCTGATCAGTGGTGTGTGGGATTGAGGGTAGGAACATGAATTGGACAGCAATTATTTTTCAGACTGGATTTTTGAGATTAAATGCATTGCCAGTTCAGAGTAAACCTTTTGTAGTCTAGTTATTTATGCATAATTACTTTGTTTCAGCCACCACTCGTCAGTCACTTTGTCAAACTGTGTTTCTGGAAGCTATGCTACTGGTATTTTAAATACCAGCAGGGTCACACATGATGGACAGGTTTCAGATGAGCTTCCAGACAAAGACAGACTAGGAAGAAGGAGTGAGGAACTCCTTCAGAATATTTAGTCACTGAAAACTTTATGAATAGCAGAGAAACACTGTCATATATAGTTCCAGAAAATGAGCCCTTCAGGTTGGAAGGCACTCAAAATGCGACTAGGGAAGAGCTGT